GGAAGGAAGGAAGGAAAGGAAGGAAGGAAAGGATGGATGGATGGATGGATGGATGGATGGATGGATGGATGGATGGATGGATGGATGGATGGATGGATGGATGGATATGGGTGGGGAAGAAGAAATAGGCATCAGGCTTCAAAGCGTACTCACTCAAGTTACTCTTATAATTAGGCTGCTAAGTGCTTGAGGAAGGGAGGGGTGTAATTTGTTGGCTGGGCAGAGAGGAAATCATGATACTGTAGTTTACTGATGTATGAACTTTGAACTTCTGGGAAAGAGGTATGGAAGAATGTTAATGAATATCCCTTAGGGCAGGGTGGGCTGTGAGTTCCAGCAGCCAGTTTTCCACCCCAGGATCCCAGATGAGCCATGTCAATCACACACATATACTCTGACTATAAACTTTTATTTAATCCTTTCTCTGTCAAATCACTTGGGAAATTTTTCACTCAGTAGTGTTCTGAGGGCTGCTGTCAGCAGCCAATAAGAAGTACCAGGAGAGGAGGAGAGGGGATTTTGAATCTTGAATTGGCTGGAATCTTAGGAAGCTTAGCTCTTTCTTTGCTTCCGTTCTTCTTCGTGGGTCTGAGAACTCCTAGCACCCTCCATCCTGTACTGTGATACCAGTCTACTTGCACAGTTCCTTGACCCTTTGTTTCTATATTGGTGCCTTTCCTTTTTTTTTAATCCTTCTTTGTGGTGTGGGTGTGGATGTTTTGGGGGAGGAATCTCCCCCCCCGCCCCATTTATTTGGATCATTTCTGCTGCTACTGCTGTCAGATTGCCTGTCTCTGCCAGCATGACTCTTTAGGATTTTTTGTAGGGAGGGGGTTTATTTTTGGACACACACACACCCAGTTTGTTTGGAGATGTTTTTCCTCTCTCTAGTCTTTTCCTTTCTTAGAGTATTTTTGCTGTCTGGCAGAACTGCAGGCTACTGCCTGCTGGACTCAAAGATAGGAAAGAAGGCATTAAGTGGTAAGGGAAGAGAAATCTCCCCTTATTCTAGTAGTGTTGGTTGTGGGGGTTGCTTGTGGGTTTTTTTCCTTTACTTTTTTGCTTGCTTCTTCTGCCTTTTGTGAAAGGAGCTGCAAGTGTGCTTGTTTTAATTTTGCTATTTCTCCTCTGTGTGTATGCTTCCCCTATTTCATTTATATATTTTTAAATGTTATTTGTTTAATTTATTGTGTATTTGTTCTGTTGGAGGTGTATATTTCAGTAAGGTTTTTTTTGGACTATTTTGTTTACTTCTGTGTGGTTTTGCTGGTGGACTTTGTGACTGCACCAGTGTGTCACTTGGCTGTGTGAATATGATAATATAAGCTAGCTCAAAGGTTTGATTATTTGTTTTTCTTTCTCATGTAGAGTTGCCTGCTTTGAGGGTAGATTGATTCTCCATTGCCTTGTGTCTGCTTTTTTTGAGTAATTTTTACAGGTTTGGGGCTTTTGGATTGGTGCCAGAAAACATGAATGGGGAACCCCAATCAAATTACCAGAGACAGTCACTTTTGTGCATGAAAAGCATGAAAACAAAAGATGTATCCCTGGGGGGAAAACTGAAATAAAACAAAATATGAAAATTTCCCCTGTGCTCATTCCTAATAGTGAGCTGCCTTGGCAGATGTGTAATGGCTGCAGAAGGTTCCGAGGTCTCAAAAATAGAGCTTTCTGATGAAAAGAAAGCTGCTTTCTTGCCTTTTTTTTCTTTTTTGGGGGGGGTCAATGTGACTAAAAACGGCACTAGGGTCAAAGTCTCATGCTGGCTATAAAAATCTCTTTCTGGCTGGAGCAGCAACCCAAAGCAAAGAGTGTGTTCTCCAGGAGCTCAAAATGAGAAACTTTGTATGAATTACATGTCTGAGCAGAAAAAAAAGAACAGAGCTCTTACACAGCCTACTAATAAAAACTAGTCCAATGAAAATTCTTTTCTTCCTTCCTTCCTTCCTTCCTTCCTTCCTTCCTTCCTTCCTTCCTTCCTTCCTTCCTTCCTTCCTTCCTTCCTGTGACAACCCCAGACCTACTGCAATATGCCACACTTTAATTATGCTGCCACCAACCATTCCCTATAAGGAGTCACACAGACCAGGAATGGATTTTAACAAACAAAAGAACAAGGTTTATTTAAATAACAAACAGGGTAAATAAAAAGATCAAGTAAATAAGATACTGTAACGTGGCTTAGTCTCAATCATACATACAACAGTTTGGTTCACACAGAACACTTTAAAGTAAAGCACAGACCCTGAACCTATCAGTTCTGGCTACCTATAAAGAAACCTGAACCTATCAGGTATGTACTAACTGACACACAGTTGTACTCAGTCTGACACACAGACTCCCACTCCTCACTCCTCACACCAGCTCCAAATATATATACAGTACAGCTCCTCCTCCTGATGTCCCGCCTTCCACTCCCCATAGGATGGAACTTTCCCTCCAAACCCATGACAGACAGGTACCATCAGTGCTGTATGTAACAC